GAATGGCTTGCTTTCAGAAGTTGTAGGTGCTCCTCACTGAAGTTTTTTAAGAAGAGACTGGGCAGCCATTTGTCTGAAATGGTATAGGGCAGTGATGGCGAACCTTTTAGACACCGAGTGCCTCAAACCACCACCCCCAGCTCCACCCCCTGCCCCCCACCCGTGGAGAGAGGTTTTTCTGTGGACTGGAGGGAGTGTGGTTTCATGTACTGCCTGCATTCTGCGTATGGGGCTTTGTTTGCGCGGCCTGGTTTCTGGCATGCGGCCCAGTGCTGGGGTTGGGGACCCCTCCTCTACCCTATAACAACAAAAAATAAATAAAATAGGGTTTTTGATGTAGGGAAAATAGGAAGAGAAGAGTACTAGGTCTATCTGCCACAAATTAAATATAAAAAGCAGGATAAAAAAAACCAATGATGCTCTAGAACAGTGGTTCTCAACCTTTTTAATGCCGCGACCCCCAACTGGTTGTAAGTCGAGGACTAAACTGGTTGTAAGTCGAGGACTACCCAACCGGTCGTAAGTCGAGGACTTTCCCTGCCCGGGAGCGCCACGCATGCCTGGTTCCGCCCCCTGCGCCAGCCGAGGCGTAGCTGGCAAGCGGCAGAGACGGAGCAGGCCGACCACCAGCTGGCCCAGCTCAAGGGAGGTAAGGCACCCGCCGGAAAAGGGGAAAAAATGGTGGACAGCCTTGCTTGGCGACCCCCGTGAAATGGTCGATTGACCCCAAATGGGGTCGCGACCCATAGGTTGAGAACCGCTGCTCTAGAAGAAGAAAAATCACTGAGGTGATTTCTAAATGATTATTATATGGATGATAACCTCTTTTGCCCCATAGGTAAAGGTATAGGTTATTGTCAAAATTGCTTGACTTTTTGTTTTAATAAAACAAGAAAAAAATGCTTAAAGCTAAGTCTCCAGTTGTCCTTTCTCAAGGATTCCCAATGGTATGTCAAATGATCTTTACAGAAGTTAAGTCTCCCCACAATCATAGAAAATTAGAGGGAGAACCTTGTCCATAAGTCCCTTAGCTTTGGAGGAGTGCATGCAGTCATATATACCATTCAGAGGTAGAAGCAATCATGAAAGCTGGGGTGCATTTCTATGTGACTATGATGTTATGATCATTTTAGCATGCTTTACTCTTTAGCAAACAAACAAACAAACAAACAAAAAAGCATGGTCATTACAGTATATCTAAAACTTGGATTTTTGTGCTTATATATGAACAACTCCTGGTTTAGAAACCAGAATTATGGATCACATTCTGAATTGCAGACAAATGATTTATGTGTATAAGATTTTTGTTTTGTTTTGTCTGCTTGTCTAGTTTGGATTTAACTGAAGAAAAAGCAAAGAGGAGCCTAAAGCGAAGTTTAGAGATATGGGGGATTCACACCTTGAAAAGAACATATGTACTAGGAGCAATGGAGGACTGTCTTCAGGTACATTATCAGGTTAACAGGCCCATTATAGTATAAGTAGCCCTCAACTTACAACAGTTCATTTAGTGATTGAAGAGCACTGAAAAAAGTGACTTATGACCATTTTTCATACTTCCAACTGTTGCAGCATCTCCCTGGTCATGTGATCAAAATTCAGCCACTTGACAGCTGGTTCATATTTATGACAGTTGCAATGTCCTGGTGTCATGTGATCACTTTATGTGACTTTCTGACACGCCAAGTCAATGGGGAAGCCAGATTGACTTAACAATGTGTTACGAGCCCTGATGGTGCAGTGGTTAGAATGCAGTATTGCAGGCTAATTCTGCTCACTGCCAGGAGTTCGATCCTCATCGGCTCAAGGTTGACTAGGGTGATTGTGATTTCAGCCATCAGTTTATTAGATCCATGTCTCTCCTGGTTGGCAAAGGTATCCCTGGGAGGTGATGTGTGGTGGGATTCTGGTGGTGAATTCTTCCTTGAGAAAAGAGGTTGTCCCACAACCTTTTAAAGAGATATTGGTTCAACCCCTTTTGAAGAAGCCATCACTAGACCTAACCATACTAGATAATTTTCATTCAGTTACCAATATTATCTCTTTAGGGAAGATTGTTGAAACAGTAGTTGTGCAGCAACTTCAGAAGATCTTGGATGAAGCAAATCATCTGAGTTTTTTTCAGTCAGGTTTGAGATTTGGGTATTGGATTGAGACAGCATTCCTCACATTTTCAGATGACCTCTGGCATAAGCAGGATGGAAGTAGTGCATCTATCTTTGTTCCTGTTGACCACTTGGCAGCTTTTGGTACCATCAATCATGGTAACCTTCAGGATCAGTTTTGGGGGTTGTGGGTGGATGAGTGGCACTATATTGTGATGGTTCTCCTTTCTCCACCCACACACTGCTGATCAGGAGTGAGAGGTGCCACAGGATTTGGTGCTTTCTCTGTTCCTGTTTAACAGCTACATGAAACTAGTAGGTGAGTTCATCCATTGCCATAGGATAAGGTACCATATGCTTTACATCTGCACGCTGATGAATTAGGTGATGCTGTTCATGTTCTGTCTTGGGCTCTGGAACTGTGAGAGGCTGGATGGAGAACAGCACAGTTGTTCAGCTCAATCTAGCAAGACTGAGTTGCTGTGGGTTTGGGGGCTTCCTGGCTCCAAAGAGTTATCATCTCATTGTGGATTGGGTGATCTAATCTGGGGGGAGTCCTGGACTCACAACTCCAAAGAATAGGTGGCAGTTGTGGTCAGGGCAGTTTTTGTGCAACTTTATACATCAATTCTGTCTGTTCCAGGATTGGGAAGCTCTGCTCACAGTCACATGATCACAGTCACATAATGCTTTGATCATCTCCTGAGTGGCTTACTGGAATGCACTGTACATGGGGCAAAGCCTTAAAGAACATTCAGAAGTTGCAGTTGGTACAAAATGCAGCTGTGCAGACAATGAACTGTAATGCCCTACAGGCATGGGACCAGCTTATCTGAAGGACCTCCTCTTCCTGGTTACATCTGCCTATCCCATCAGATCCAGCAGAAGAGGCATGTTGCAGTCCCATTTGTTAAGGAGTATCATCTGGCAGTACCCAGGAAGAGAGCCTTCTCTATTGTTTGCCTATCCTTTGGAATACCATCCTCCCCCCCAAGAGGTTAGATTGATCCTGACCTTCCTGGCCTTTCACAAAGCTCTAAAGATGTGGATATACTATTTATTTATTTAATTTTTATTTATATTTGGATTTATATCCCGCCCTTCTCCTCGCGGACTCAGGGCGGCTGACAATCAGTTAAAATACATAAATAACAATACAAATTTAAAATTAATTAAAAGAAATATTTAAACATTTGTCCAATTAAAATGTAATTAAAACCCCTCTAAAAATTACCCTAGGCCAGTCCTGCAAGCTGGAATAACCAAGTCNTGTCCGCCATTTTTCCCCCCTTTTCCGGCGGGTGCCTTACCTCCCTTGGGCTGGGCCAGCTGGTGGTCGGCCTGCTCTGTCTCTGCCGCTTGCCAGCTACGCCTCGGCTGGCGCAGGGGGCGGAACCACGCATGCGCGGCGCTCCCAGGCAGGGAAAGTCCTCGACTTACGACCGGTTGGGTAGTCCTCAACTTACGACCGGTTTAGTCCTCGACTTACGACCGGTTTAGTCCTCGACTTACGACCGGTTTAGTCCTCGACTTACGACTGGTTGGGGTCGCGGCATTAAAAAGGTTGAGAACCACTGCCCTACAGGCATGGGACCAGCTTATCTGAAGGACCGCCTCTTCCTGGTTACATCTGCCTATCCCAACAGATCCAGCAGAAGAGGCATGTTGCAGTCCCATTTGTTAAGGAGTATCATCTGGCAGTACCCAGGAAGAGAGCCTTCTCTATTGTTTGCCTATCCTTTGGAATACCATCCTCCCCCCCAAGAGGTTAGATTGATCCTGACCTTCCTGGCCTTTCAAAAAGCTCTAAAGATGTGGATATACTATGAGGCTTGGGGATCTGGTTGTGATGTGGTTTGATGGTTACACTGAATGATTTGTTTGGGTAACTTGACTACTGAATATGTTATGTTTTTAATGTGATTTTATATGTTTTTTTATTTGTATTCTCTCTTTTTGCCGATTTTTTAAATTGTTGTAAACCATCCAGAGTCATGAATGTGAATAAGTCACAGTTTTTAGGGGCTGCAGAAAAACAATTCTGAGAACAAAGGCCTGCCTCTGGAATAAGGCTTTCACGATCTGTCCTCTAGTTTGAAATGTATTAAATGAAGCATTTGTATGCTGAAGACCACCCTAATGGTGAGAGCAGAGGCAATTTTGACTGCTTTTATCTTTGCAAAGATGGCAAAAGACTTCAACCTTGTTTGTTTACCTCTAATTACAGATATGAGAAGGTACCTGTAATCTTGGTTGGAAATAAAGTGGACCTGGAGAGCGAGAGAGAAGTTTCATCCAGTGAAGGCAGAGCTCTGGCTGAAGAATGGGGTTGTCCTTTTATGGAGACATCTGCTAAAAGCAAAACAATGGTGGATGAGCTCTTTGCAGAGATTGTCAGACAAATGAACTACGCCTCTCAACCA